TGCCAGTCAAAAACAGTCATAAGTAGATCTGCTTCATAACACAGAATTTGTCAGAATTATTTGTAAAACAAGGAAGAGGCTGCAGTGAGAAAGCCAAGCTTGTGGAAAGTACAGCTTGCTTGTGTTAATTTGTGATCGTCTGAGTGATTGCACAGTGGCAAGGATTCAGAGGTTTCATTCAAATATTCTTCCCATCTCAGCATTCTGGTTGCATTTTTGTTTCAAATACATTGTCTTAAAAGCAAAGTAAATCATCTTTTAACAATTAAAGCTTAGAATCTTAAAGGGGATGTGAGAAAAGCTGATATAGACAAGAAAGCAACTATGACATCCAATCTCATGATAAACATGGGTAGGGACAATCAAGAACATTAATTGTATCCCAGTATGTTCCAGCATACATAGAGAAAACCACATTTTTACACATTTACTGCTGGAAAGTTTCAAGGCAACATCCTTGAGATTGACACTTGTACTTTCCCTTTAAATCAAAGGCCCACATTTTCCTCATTCTCAATGAATGTATTGTATTATGGTTTTTTAAAAAGACTCAAAAATTGTAAAAGGGGTCACCTTTGGTTATCTAGTCCTTGTTTAATTGGGTTAAGGTTTTTTGTATAGAGAAGTTTACATTTTTATGTACATTCTTGTGTAAAAAATGTAATATGTGTATAAAACACTGTATGTATTATCTGTATATAGTGTGAGAAAATGATTTTTCCCCTTTCTTTTGGATGTATTAATAAATCTTGCTGTGAAGAAGCTTTGGTTTATTTAATTAGGATAACATCATCTGAAGGTACATTGTTCTACATTGCAACACAGGGTATATGTGTATTGTGCATGCAAAACAGCCTACATAAATGATAATATTGTCTAGAACTATTTATCTAAGCTTCCACATAATTTTGAGAGCATAAAATTTTTGTCCCTTTCAAAAGCCAGATTACTAGCTGTCAGAAGAAGACCTTAATAACAAATAAGTAAATTTTATGTACTTAAACAAGCATTTCATAATGTAAGATTATGTAATTATGACAGCTATTAAGAGGTTACTCAAAGCAAGAGGCATATGTAATAAACTATAATAAAAATAATATATTTTTAGTTAGATAAATAAGCCTATATGAACAAATAATATAAATATTTATATATTCTATTGTTGATTCCTACTTCAGAAGTTGGGGATGGAGGTAAGGTAATGAACAGAAGCTGTGGGTAAGATGGGCAATATTTAAATTTGATGCATAAAAATAAACAAGAGGCCAAATTCTCTTTCTATATGATTTAGAAATAATAGCCAACAACAGTACTGGTTTTTATATATCAAAGCATGCTGTAGTTTCATTTCTATCATATCTTACTAACTTTTAGTTTAGTACAGAGGTGGTATTCAGCAGGTTCTGACCAGTTCTGGAGAACCAGTAGCGGAAATTTTGAGTATTTTGGAGAACCAGCAAATACCACCTCTGATTGGAGATTTTACAGTATCCTTCCCCTGCCATGCCCACCAAGCCACGCCCACAGAACCGGTAGTAAAAAAAATTGAATCCCTCTGGTTTAGCAGATTCATATTTTTACATGTTCCTGGTCCAAGTGCCAAACTGAAGTTCTAAAGTGGTCCTTCCCAAACTAAATTCTGCCTAGATCTTAAGGGAGAGGTAACTGCATTTCCATAAAAGTGGAATGAACTTTGCACTTTTGTGGAATTTAATTTGGAAATATTTATATGGGTGCAGGAGACCTTTTTATTCCAGATGGGTTCTTTCAAACAGTTCAGATATGGAGTTAACTGAAATGTTTCCACTGCCCTTTTTATTACCTCCTTCATCACATAAGACCATAGGAAAAGGGATCACTTAGAACAGTGGTCCCCAACCTTTTTTGTGCCACGGCCGGGTACTGGCATCACAAAATGATCCGCGGCCCGGTACCGGCATCAGCACGCATGACACGGCAAGGTGAGCCAAGCGACCGGTCAGCCAGCTGTCCCCTGCTTCTCCCTGCCACCTTCAACTCCTCCTTTGTACCTTTGTCGATGGGCTTCGCTTCGGGACGGCTTCAGGTCGCTCGGCTTGCCTTGCCTTGGGTGCTGAAAGAATCCTCGCGCCTTAGTTTCGTTCGAAGCCCCCCCCTTCGATGAAACTAAGGCGCGAGGATTCCTTCAGGACCCAAACGCCGCTTTCCAACCAGAAAAGCTCACCCGGAAGCACTTTCTTGTCAAACAAGATGGCGGCGCCCAGCAAACCGGCGGCCCGGTAGGAAATGTTCCACGGACCGGTACCGGTCCGCAGCCCGGTGGTTGGGGACCCCTGACTTAGAATATACTTTAGAGAGTGTAGCAACAATTTAATTTTTATATATTATCAACTTTATTTTGAAAGAAGAGCAGCTATTTCTAAATTTATTTTATGACCAAATAGATATGCTGTGAGCATTGGACTTTTCCCCTTCAACCGAAAAGAATGAACTTCTGAAAACTAGGTGTTTCAAAAGGAATCCTTTATTGAAAGGGGTTTTATCTCAAAATTAGGCAAAGCAGAATCTAAAATACCCCCAGGCATACAGTCACAGATAAAGGAAGTTAAAACCCCTCCCCTCATTCAGATGTGGATTTAGTCAAACAAAGAACCAACAAGTTAATTCCCCCCTCCCCTTCTCTAGGAACGTATCTTGCAGAGTTTCCAGGAGTTTCTTCCAGGGCTGGAATTTTTGTGGTCCCTTCTCATCCTGTTTCTCTTCCAGAGGTGACAAGTTTCTGGACATCTGGCTCCACTCCTCCAGATGTTTATTGAGCAAGTTCTATGGAATCAATATAGGATTTAATATATTCAGATTACTTCAAAAAGGATTACTTGTACAACACCCCCCCCCGCTTCTTCCATTGAAGAATGGCAGATACACGGATCTGACATATGCTGTAACATCAGATGAGCCAGCATCTTTTAAAATGGAAGAATTTACCTGCCTGACTTTAACTTTTTTATATTACTTTTATATTAACTTTTTATACTACTGAGCTATGGTGGCTCAGTGGCTAGAAATGCAGAACTATAGGTTAACTCTGCCAACTGCCAGTTCAGTCCTGACTGGCTCAAGGTTGATTTAGTCTTCCTTCCTTCCAAGGTTGGTAAAATGAGAATCCAGATTGTTGGGGGCAATGTGTTTACTCTGTAAATCGCTTAGAGAGTGCTATGAAGCACTATGAACTGATATATGTCTATTGCTATTATGATTACCAGGATAAGAAATGAAGTGAAACTCCCTCGAGTCAAGCTGGACTCCTGGGGGTGTCACACCAACCGAGAACAATGTGAAGATCCAAGGCAGAAGATACAATAGGGAAATGCTCCGTCCAGCTATGAGAAAGAGAGGATTATGAGAAGTGAAAATAACTATGGATAAAATATAGAAAGCAATGCTTTTCCTTCTTTTTAACCAAATCCTGACCACTTCTAGAGTGTGATCACTAAAGGGAAACTTGTTTTATTTTATCAAATCTCTACACTGCCCATCTTATCTAAGTGAGCTGAAAAGGTTTCCTAAAAGCTTATTTATGCAAAATAATGGCTTCAGGTTGTTCATTTGCTGTAGGTTTGAGACTTGTTGAAAGACTAGCTCATTAATTTTCTGTGATGTGAAAAGAAATTAATCTTTACCATTTCATTTAGAACTTTAAAAACCTTATCCATAACAAGACTTAAATGGAAGTTGCATCTTTAGCCTGATTGTCAACATCTCACTCAGACAGCATAGCATGGCTGTGATCAATCCACAGCAAGGCTTCATATGGTTGGTTAGTAGCCTGGTCTAAAAGCAAACGGATCCAAAGAGAGGTCTTTGCTTATACCAGCCACCTGGAGAACCTCCATTTGAAAAATGTAATGATAGCTAAATTGACCTCTTTATTCTGTATATTTTCTTGCAATCTTCTCATCATTTTGTCAATCTCACCTCATCTTAGCAGAAATAAGGAACCTTCAGCTGCATTTCCTATATATCTCTTATCTTGAAAGCTTTCAGACCAAGCTTCTCAGCCATCCCAACCTGGTCAGTTAGGAAAGAAAGACTCCTGGCCCATGATTAGCCAAAAGTATACTTTACTAAAGCCAAGGTGGTTACAGAACAGGTGAAACAGGATCTGAGGTTTTCGCATGCAAAAGACACAATTAACTTTCCCTTGCTCCCAGCCAGCCAGACATTGACATTATCAGTCAATGTCCAATCAGGTGTTAACAAATTGTTTGGAAATGTCTTCCTTTGTTCACCAGCTCCACATTCTTTTGGTGTGACCTTAAGACTGCTGGGGTTTCCCACAGAACGATACTGCTTGGTTTTGTTTTCTCTCCCTGTCACCCTATTCCCCCACTGCTCCCTCCCCCCATTACTGATGTCAGGCTGACAGCTAGCAATGCTTAGCCTAGCAGAATGGCAGCCATGACAAAGCTTGCTATATACAACAAACTGATTTTGGATGATCATAAATGATCATGGAATGACATTAATGCTGCCTGTGAACAGTGAGATTCTGGATTCAGATCTATATTCTCCTGAGGCTAGATAGGTACACTTTAGGCAAGCATGCAATGTACTGATGCAACTTCAGTAGCTTTGTGATATGAATTAGGTGGGTTATGGGATGTGGCAAGATACTGCATTCTCTGCAAAATGGGAGAGGGCGGAGAAAACAGTCCTGCAATAAGGAATTTCTAATGAAATCACACTGTAGCAGAGTTGGCAGCATGAGAAGGAAAATGGTACTTTCAGCTGTCATCTCTTGAATAGGGATGCTAATGCTGTTTCTGTTATTTAAGCTCTTAGCCTGTAATCATCCCATTTCTTGCCAGACAGGAAGTATCTCCAGTTTTATTAATATTATTGCTGAATTTGTAGTTTTTGAAAAGATGCTGAATTGACATCCTTGGGCTTTGAGTCACATTTATTAAATAAATAGGAGAGATTTATCATCTTCAATACACAAGACTGCCAGTAAGCAGCAACCATATTCTTGCTGGAGAAATTATTTTTATTTTGCACCAAAATCCAAATTCTGTGAAAATAAGAAATAGTAAAGTAAATTTATTGTATACAAATACATTATAATTCTGCACTTTGTTCTGAAGCAATACAGGAAGCTTGGAAAAATAATGTAAGATTTCAGCCTGATTTCCTGACAGGTTTGAATTTGTAAAAAAATACTTGTTTTAATTATAATTAACACTGTTGGGCTGTAACAATGAGTCATAAATGGTCTCCCACTTTGGAATTATTTAATGATGAAAAAGAAGGAGCCAAATTAAAACCACACATAAAAAAAAGATTTCATCCAAAGAAACTGAAACATATGAAACTGTGTTGAAACAACAACCGTGCAATGGCTGTTACCAGAGTAGGACCAAAACAGAGTCTAGCATCTTTGCCCAAGGACCTCACATTTTAAATTGCAGTACATTCAAGTTATTGACACAAGCAATGTGTTTGCCAGTAGCTAGGAGCTTTTCTTTACAGCTTAGCAACTTCCCTTCTTTCCAGCAGTGTTCCTGCTGCCATGGCTAGCTGACACCTCTTTGTCCCCTGAAACAACGCAGGGCTGCCACCACTTCAGTCTCAACAGCTTTGAAAAGATAAAATCCTGGGTTTATCCAGATTTATCCTGAGGGTTTTTATCAGAATATATATTTTCAAATCTATTATTACTCCTGTGTTTCCCCACTGCTTTCTTTCACACATTTTCCTTATGTTTAGGCAGTTTTCCACCACGTGCTTTCTTTAATAACTCACCACAAACTCACAGATACACCAGAGAATCAAGCATGATGCTGCATCATGGATATAGGCTCTTCAGACAGATGCCTCAGGATGATCATGCAAGTCAGACTCTATAAGCTTTAATTTCATTACTTTCTACCTCCTGTATTTTTAAAAATGTGAGCGTGTGTCTGCATGACAATTTTAAATAGTGTTAAATGCATTAGGTTAGGACAGATTTCTGACCATTAATTGAGGAGAGGTAAAGATGTGTTTGAAATGAAGCGCACATGGGGATTTTCGTCTTTTCGGTTTTTGTTGATAGGATAGCATACAAAAAAATCAAGAGATTTATACAACAACCTATCTTGCACATAATCCTGGATAGCCAAAAAATCAATAAACATATTAAAACACACAAAATAATAAATCCCCCCCCCCCATAAAGTTAAAGAATGTCCTGTTCCATTCAAGGAATTATTGTAGAAATTAATCAAGCACAGGCTAGATATTTCTTTTTCTTTACTCAATCTTTATTTTCTGCAATCACCCCATTTCTAATTAATAGTTAAACACTGCATTTAACTGGCTGAAGATCTTTTAGTGATGATCAATACATTTAAAACTGAAACATGCCAGCAACATAAAAGTACCAGTGAAATGGCAATTATTCCAGGGAATCATGCATGATAGGGTGGCAATGAGAAGTCATAAATCTGACTGTGGGATTTCATGAATGGTTCATTTGCTTTTTGGGATGTCTGTGATGTATGATGTGATAGCCTCAGTGAGCTGTGCATGTCTGCTGGCCTCTTTTTCCATTTTGTAAATTCACATGTTTCTCTTTTGAGACAAATGAACTCCAGCCTCCTTAGTTCATGTTTGCATGCCAGTGCTGTTGGTGTGTTAATAAAGGGTCCTGCTAGTTCAGCAGAGCAGAATGAATAAGAAGCATCACTTGACTTAAAATAGCAAGAGGGCTGCTTTCCTTCTAAACTGGTCAATGAAAGACAATTAGATTGGAAAACTAAAAGGGCCTCCTTCTGGAAATCACTGAAGAACAGTAGTCGAGGCAAGACCACTATTTTTCATGTGTGTGGCACTGCTAACACCAAAAGCACAACAGTCACCTGTAAGTGTTGAGAGACAAACTGGAAGATAAAGGTATAGGTGGTCTGGTCAAGCCAAAGTGCAATCACTGACAGCCTGATAAGATGCAGGGCTCAATCAGCTGAAAGCTATTGACTTTCCAGTAAACTGAGAGGGAGGCACTGGGGTGAGTTATGATCTTGTTCACTTAGAAAGCTCGTCCTTGTTACCATTTTTCTTCAAGAGCTATATTAGATCTACTTTATAGAAAACATTTATGTGATCATATTTGCTTATTTCACCACAATTTGTTCAATGAATAATGCTTGGCTACTTACACATCAAATAAAGCCATAAGCCATGGTTTAGAAACCTTTAAGGCTGGTCTCACCCAGCACACAAGGTATAATGTGACTTATTTGGTTTTGGCCTAGCATCTCGGTTACTTCAGAAGAATTGTTTATAGGCTTGTTTACATTCCAAACTGGTTTTAACAATAACTTCTCATTTGTAATCTTGATTAGGTTTTCCCTAAACTGAATCCTTTTGTCTCGTATTTCTACTCCCATAATTCCCCTCCCCACAAGTAATGGAATTCATCCTGACCCATCTCAGATCATCTTCGTGACATCTCCATTGATTGGGTGGTTGGGTTGCAAAGACTAGTAGCAGGCGAGACTTTGAAAAAAAAGCTGGAAGGGGAATGGGGAGAGGAAACACAGAGTTATAGCTTGCTTTTCTGTGGAACAAATGCAAGCAGGACAAGTAGGAACAGTTTTCAGTACTGCAGGGTTTTATTTATTAGTTAACAGGTATACAAGAAGACCAGTTTCACTAACAAAAGTCTTAAACCTAAATATTTCCTACTCATATTAACCTTCTCTACTACCTACCCCTCAGACCTTTCCTTTGAGCTTACTGTCTGGTTTACAGAACCTTTAAGGAAGCTTCTAATGGCTTTGTGTACTAAATCAGGCAATTACATAGTCTCTTCTAATATTCATGACTACTCCCTACCTTAAGTGCTTTTAAAACCACTTCAGCGGCTTTAACTGGCTTTCACCTTCAGTCTCAATTTCTACAAAGGTTTTTTTGTTCTGCCAGCTCTCAGCAGATACTTGTTTCTGTCGCTCACCAATTCCTTTCAGACTAGTTTAACTAACTTTAACTCTCTCTCAAATTGTTATTTTGGCCCTGGTTTTGGCAGTGTTATAAGACTGCTTCTCCCTTCCTCCAAGCTACTCTCTTTCTGTCTTCTTATTAGCTTCACCAAATCTCAGCTCCCAGTATTCACTGTCCTATCTAATTGTCCTCCTTGTTTCTGCCTTTTGACAAAAGTGAAATCTCCATATATCAGAGCTTCATGAGGAATCTCCCAACTCTTCCAACAAAAACTTTGTTTCTGTTGGAGTCCTTACTTATCAGTTATTTTTTGAAATTATTCCCTTGATTTAAAAAAAACTTTATTGTTCATTGGGTTGTTAGAATTGTTTTAAAAATTGGTCACATACGTTGCCTTATCTTTTTATTTTAGGAAAACAAGGAATTGATGCTTCGAGGTAAACTATCTGGCCTTTAGTTTTCAATTTGATTATTTGCTCTGTTGTGGAGCGGTGGAAAAACCTGAGGCAAACTCGGAGTGAACTTCAGCTTTTACTTTATTGAAACAATAAAGGGTTGCCGTGGCTGCCGTGCTAACGCAGCCAGCTGGCGGACAACAGCTGATGCCGTTTGACAGCTCCCTTTTATAGCCGGCTGTCAAACAGCATCAGCCAATAGGAACGATCTGTGTTCTTGCTGGAAACATGGACCGGAGTGAAGACTTCGGCTTAGTCTTTTCCGAATGCCACACTCCTTTTCCCCAGAATGGAGCATGCATAGTCCTTTAGATAACTTGGGCGCTTGCGCAGGCAGCCAGATCTTCTAAGTCCTGACGAAGCTGCTGCTGGAAGGAACTTCTCTGCTTGCTGGGCAACTTCTGGTGCCGACGAAGCTGGTGTCTCGGCTTCAGGCGTTTCTGGGTGAGGGACCGATGGCTGTTCAGGTAGGCTTGCGTTCTTGTCGGATCCGAGGGAAGTTTCTTTGGGCGCCGGCGGTTTCTCTGTTGCAGGAACGTCTTGAGGGCCATCTGCAAATGCACTCAAATGCCTTCTAAGCTGATCAATATGGCGGTGCCAGATGCGCCCGTCTTGCAGTAGGACCCTGTAAGACTTAGGACCAGTTACCACCACAAGTTGCCCAGGCATCCACAAAGGGTGTCCCGCATAGTTCCGGGCATAGACCTGGTCATTCTCAGCAAACTCCCTTGCTTGGCTTTTTGACCCTAGGGGTGTGACTGGGGCATAATGCAGATGGAGTGTGTCTAGGGTGGTCCTCAGATGTCTACCCATGAGAAGTTCAGCTGGAGACTTATTAGTGGTGGCATAGGGGGTTGTGTGCTGGGTCAGGAGGTACTTAGTGAGCCTAGAGTGCCAATCTATAGGCCCAAACCTTTCCAGGGCCTCCTTAACTGATCTCACTTGCCCTTTCAGCCAGGCCATTACTGGCAGGATGAAAAGGAGCTGTAAGTGCGTGCCTTATTCCTAGGTTGGCTAGGAAGACCTCAAACTCACAGGAAGTAAACTGGGGGCCGTTATCAGACATGATGGTGTCAGGGAGGGTAGCGAATATCCTTGATAGAGCCTTAATGACAGCTTCTGAAGTTGTGGTGGTCATCAAGGTCAGTTCTACCCATTTAGAAAAAGAATCAACCATCACCAGGAATGTACGCCCATGAACGGGGCCAGCCAGATCAATATGCACCCGGGACCAAGGGGCCACAGAATCTTCCCACCTGCCTGGAGTGGATGTGGGTGGAGCAGGTCTGGTAGCTTGGCATGGCTGACAAGCATTCACCCAACTTGGAGCATCCATGCCTGGCCACCATACATAACTGCGGGCCAGGGCCTTCATCCTGACAACGCTGGGATGGCCCTCATGCAGGACCTTTAAGACTGAGTCTTGCAACTTGGAAGGGATAACTACCTTCATTCCCCAAAGTAAACAGCCTTGCAGAGAAGATAGTTCCTGCTGGTGAATTTTGAAAGGCAGGAATTCAGGGGCATAAGGAATTGCTTGCCACCCCCTTCCCACCCAGTCAAGAACTTGGGCGATTACCTTGTCCCTGGAAGAGTGGGCAGTGATGGGGAGTTTGAGATCGCTGATCTGGAAAACAGCATTAGTTGGTGCAGGATCTTCCACAGGAACAGGCAGGGGCCAGCGACTAAGCATCAGCATGGCATAGACTCTTGCCAGGACGATGAATCAGTGTATAGGAATAGGCAGCCAGAAATAAGGTCCACCTGGTCATTCTTGGAGACAAAATCTGAGGGGTTTGTTTTTCACCAGACAGAAGGCCTAACAGAGGCTTGTGATCCGTGATCAACTCGAAATAGTGTCCATATAGAAACTCATGGAATTTTTTGACAGAAGCAATTGCAGCCAAAGCCTCCTTGTCAATTTGGCTGTAGTTATGCTCAGCTGGGGAAAAAGTTCTGGAGAAAAAGGCAATGGGTGCCTCAGAACCATTAGGCAGTCTATGACTTAAAACAGCACCTATGCCAAAAGGAGAAGCATCTGCTGCTAAAATTAAAGGTAAATTGTATCAGGACAGCATTGGATGTAAGTAATGATTTGACAGCATGGAAGGCATGGGCTTCCCTAGGTCCCCAGTGCCAGGGGGATTGCTTGTCCAAGAGTCTGTGCAGAGGCTCTGCAACGGAAGCTTTATGAGGCAAGACTGAAGTGTAAAAGTTAAGAAGTCCTAAAAAGGCCTGGAGCTCAGTTTTGTTAGTTGGCGTGGGTGCCTCATGAATAGCCCTTACTTTGGATTCGATTGAGTGAATACCAGAGGCGTCAATTCTGTATCCCAAAAATTTTACCTGTGGGGTGGCAATAGTGCTCTTGTCTTTCTTTAACTTAAGGCCATGCTGTCTGAAACGATCGAGGACTCCTCTGACTCTTTGCAGTAACTGAGGCTTGTCAGGGGCAGATCTTAAAATGTCATCAAAGTACGGAACTACGCCCAGTAATCCTCGAAGAAGTCTTTCCATTAAGGATTGGAAAATTCCTGGGGCTACACTTACATCAAATTGGAGGCGCCTACATTTGAAAGTGCCCCTGTGTGTTACAATAGTTTGTAGTTCAGCAGCTGTGTCATCAACAAGGAACTGTTGATAGGCCTGTGACATGTCTAATTTAGTGAAAATGGTTCCTGGCTCAAAAGAATGTAGTAGGTGCTGGATAACAGGGACTGGATAGGCGCTGATTTGTAAATATTTGTTCAATGACATCTTGTAATCCGCACAGATTCTCACGCTCCCATCTTTCTTCAGGGGTGTCACTATTGGGGTTTCCCATTTTGCGAAGTCCACAGGCTCTAATACACCCTGTTTAATTAATTTGTCAAGCTCCATGTCTAATTTGGGGCGGATTGCAAAAGGAACCCTTCGAGGCTTTAAACGGATTGGTACTGCATGAGGGTCCAAGTTGAAAGAAATTGGGGTTCCTAAATAACAGCCCAGCCCCTCGCTGAACACATCAGCATAGTCATTAAACAAGGTGTCCACTTCAGCATTTGTAATAGAGTGGATTCCGCTTATATGGAGGCCAAGGGCAGGGAACCAGTCTAACCCCAACAGGCTAGGGAGGGCACCATCCACTACCACTAAAGGCAAGTGACCTTTAAAATTTTGAAATTGTACAAAAAACTTGCCTTTTCCGATGACTGGGATGGTTCTGCCTTGGTAGTCGCATAGGGTTAACTGCCAGCCGTGAAGCTTCTTCTTAGCCATTCTGGGAAGTAGTTGTTTCAAGGTGCTCTATGAGATGATGGACAGTGCTGAGCCTGTGTCAACCTCCATCCTGCAAGGTTTTCCTTCTATAGAAACAAAAACACTAATTTTGTTAGAGCCTTTGTTAGTCAACTTGTTTTTGGAAATGTTGGGTTGGGCAAAAGTCTTTTCTGCTTGACAGATCCTGGCTAAATGACCCTTCCTTTGACATTTTAGACAAATGGCATTCCTGAACTTGCAGGATGCCCTGAGGTGGTTTCCCCCACAGCTTAGACAAATGGGCTGATGCCGTGGAGGTAGATTGGGGTTTGGCTTGTTTTCCCCTTGACTGTTTTTTTTGCTGCTGGAGGAGATTTACATCATTAGCCTTTTCATAGCCTTCTTCTGAGGAGGCTTCATCGTAATGGATGGCTGAGCTGCCCTGGCTAATTGGAGTTCCCTGAATTTCTGCTGCTGAAAGTGCTGATAGTTCAGCAGCTTGAGACTCTTCAATTGCTAATTTAAGGGTTAAATCCCTTTTAGCTCATTTGTAGACGCCTTTGTAGCCTTAAATCCCTGACTCCACAAACTAGTTGGTCTAATAACATGTCTTCCAGATAGTCTCTAAACCCACAATGCAAGGCAGCTGTTCGTAGGGCAGCCATGTACCCACTAATAGTCTCTCCCTCAGCCTGAATCCGCCTCCTAAAAGCATGACACCTGGCAATTTGGGATGGCTTAGGGGAATAGTGGTTGGAAAGAATTTCCTGCAATTCTTCCCATGGAACAGTCTTAATTGAACATGGAGCTAATAATGCCATGGCAGTGTCAAACACTGTGGCTCCGTAAAAACTAGGACTTTTTCCTATGGTCGGAAATGTCAGCAAGGTCTATGGCATCTAGAAAACAGTCAAATCGGTTTCTTTTTTTAAAAAAAAAAGTTTTATTGATTTTAACAACAAACAAAAACACATAAAACATAAAAACCTCATCCTCCTTCATGAATTTACAGACAGTGTATCGGTTGGTTTACCACTTTTTTTTGTGCATCCATTTCGTAGTCTCCATTGTAGTTATATTACATAATAGCTCATATTATCAATCAACAATTATATAGCCTGATATCATTATTAAACAATCATTTGACTATAATTTTATTAATTCATACTTTAAAGAGATAACTATAATTTACTTAATTTATTTTGTAACAAATCATAAAGTCTTGCCAAGTCTATCTTAATAAAATTTTATAAAGATAGTATCAAAAAAAAAGAGAGAGAGAGAAAGAAATATATATTCATTATTTCCTAAGTTTCTAAATATTCTGTTATTTTATTTTATTATCTAGTCATTGATAGAAAAGGTCCCAAACTTCATAGAATTGTTTATCCTCTTGTTCTCTAATTTCAAATGTCAATCTACTCATTTCAGCACAGTCAAATCGGTTTCTGTAGGACTCCCATGTTTCTGCTGTCAGTCTAAAAGGCAGGAATGCAGGTTTCGAAGTCATCTTGACTCAGCGGTGCTGTATCTTTTGAAGAAAGTTGAAATTTGTGCTCGTGGATAGTGACAGCTCTTAAAGTGACATTTAGTTCGGTAGTGACTTCGGCTCTTTTTGTAGTGACTTCGCTCAGCGATTCTTTGCCCGGTTGCCTCTTATAGGAATCCCGCCCTCGTCGCCAGTGTTGTGGAGCAGCGGAAAAACCTGAGGCAAACTTGGAGCGAACTTCAGCTTTTACTTTATTGAAACAATAAAGGGTTGCCGCGGCTGCCGTGCTAACAAGGCAGCCAGCTGGCAGACAACAGCTGATGCCGTTTGACAGCTCCCTTTTATAGCTGGCTGTCAAATGGCATCAGCCAATAGGAACGGTCTGTGTTCCCGCTGGAAACACGGACCAGAGTGAAGACTTCGGCTTAGTCTTTTCTGAATGCCACATGCTCCATGATCAGATAAAGTTAGGCAGAGTGTAGCATTTCATCAGAGAATACTAGTATCCTCCAAAGGACCTAAGACAAACAAGACCACCCCTCTTTCTGAAATAACCCTACTATTCTAGATCATTTAAACAAAGCCCATCTGAAATTAGTTCTGCTTCTAACCAGAGGAAAACACAAACTGGTCCAAATTCACATGCCTGAACTGTGTTTTTCTTGGCAAAGTTATTAAAGGCTGAGAAAGATCTGGGAACTATGTTTTGCTGCTGGCTAGGGGTCAAATCCTGCTCTTCTCAGTTTAGTTTATGTTTCTGGCATTACTGAGAGAAGATGACATGAAATAATATGCAATTATTCCATAAATCAATCTGTTCTAGTTTTTATTAACAGAGAACCATCATGTATATTAATGAAGGTCATCCCTAGATATAAATGCTACCTGTTAAAGCAGGGCTGTCAAACTCCTGGCCCGTGGACTGGATACATCATGCGCTGGCCACGTCCACTCCTGGTCTAACAAAGTGGGGGGAAGTCCCAATATGTCACATGACACCACCATAACGACATGAGTTTGAGACCCCTGTGTTAAAATAATTTTCAATTATCTTTCTAACATGGAGAATTAAACAAACCTAACTGGGTATAAATAAAGAAATATTGTCTTTGAAAAGCTGTCTTTCTTAAGAAAGAAGGCATACATTTTAGAAAAGTGAGTGAGGAAAAGTTTGTATTTTCCCCTTATGTGTGAAAGCTATCTTCCTTAATCATAAATATATTTCTGGGCATTTGAGGTCTCTTTTTTTTTTCTCCCACCTCCTTCCCTCTTATGGGTTAGAAAGAAAAACTAGCAGAAGTCTTCTCAGTTTCACTAAGAAAAAAAAGAAGGAAGAAGTCCAGTTCCACAGATCTAGTGGTGGAGGTCCAGGGGTACACTAGTCCTCTGAGCTTGTCCTAA